GACTGACTGCTCATAGCAGATAGATTTATGGAGGTTAGTTCAATGTTTTAGTGCACATCATGGGGATTACTAGGTCTTAACTGCCAAACCACTGAGATTCCTGGCCCCAACAAATTTACAAAAACCTTAATTATCAGAGGATCTCATTGCAATGTTAGCAAAATCTTGATCTCTTACTATGGGCCAAAATTCTCTATAATCTTTGATTTTATAGCTTGCAACCTTTCCCAGATTCAAAAATCCATGGCTTCGTTGGCTTTCTTTCTGAATCATAAACTAATAAAACTGCTTGCTCTCCAAGAATCTTTACTTGAAATCTTCTTTACTTTTTCTTTCAAGTGATTCTTCTAATAAATCAGGTCTCAATTCAAATATACATCTTTAAAATATATCACTGAATATCCAAATCAAGGGATAATTGTCTCCCTTTTTCAAGTTCCATTTTCATAATATAGTCTATCTTCTCTATATAATTGAGTGACTTCAAAGTATTTGTGGAAAATTTCTGTTCTCTTTCCATTCTACTTTATCTTCTTTTACCTAAACAACATAAAGCAAAACAAGTAAAGCAGAAAACAACACCAACAAAACCATTGTTATCTAGTCGATTCCACCCAGGGCTTCAAAATAGTCCAGCCTAGTTTGGTAATGGCCAAAAAAGGGACACTGGAATGGGTTCTAATTTTTAAAAGGTGGGCAAATTGTAATACTAACCATAATGGGAAAAATATGTCTAAGTCATGTTAGTAATTTAAATTCCCTCTAAATAAATATGTCAATTTAAATTCCCTCCTAGTAAATAAGCATGTGCATATCCTCTTGACAGGCTGAGTCAAAGGCTCAGCTCAAAGATGGATGCTAAGCATGCTGCTTTGCATGTGTATTCAAAGCACTCTCCACCAGCCTGATCATAGTGCCACACATCGGGTTCCTGAGAGAGCTCCCTATGCCCTGGGTCTCTTACTTCAGGGCTTCTCTCTGTCTGCTTTGGTTTTTCTTTGTTAGACACGACTGAACTGATGCCAACCAGATCAAGCTCATAGTGACCCTATGTGCTGAAGAGTTGAACTGTGCATCATCATTTTCAAAGGCAGTGATTTTTCTGATAGAGATTACCAGGTCTTTCTTCCAAGGGACCTTGGGTGAACTGAAACCTTCAACCCCTCCAGTAACTAACTTAATACTACACAGATTCCAGCTTGAAGGATCTTGGTAGATAACTGAAATTATATTAATAGTATGAATTGGGGATCCATTTATCAGTATGCAAACATTGATGTTCCACTTAGTAATAAGTTATTTAATCTCTGCTTCTTTTTCTGTAAAGATTATGCCTCATACATTTATTGAAAAAATTAAATAACTTAATAAACCTTAAGTTCAGAGAGTAGTAGCTGGTTATTCAGTATTATAAATTGTTACTATAGTAGAATGTTTCTTAAAATATATCTGTTTAAATTCAGCCACTTGCCCACTTTTGTAACGAAAGTGTGCAGAACAGACTGATATTCAACAGTAGGTATTCAATGAGTGCATTATACTGCTACCTAAGTGATTTGTCGTCACTTGCTATCAGGTTCGTGCTGATTCACAGATACTTTATGTATTAGAGAACAAAGTATTTCCCAGTCCTGCATCATCTTTATCATTATTGGTATGATTGAGTCAATTGATGTGGCCATTGTATCAATCCATCTCTTTGATGGATTTTTTACCAACCATGATATCTTTTCCTGATTATGTGTCCAAAGTAAGTCAATCGAAGTCTTATAATCTTTGCTGCTAAGAAATGTTCATTTTTTGGCAGCCCACAGAGAATATTCAACATTCTCTGCCACCGTTCAACAGCATCAAGACTTCTGTCTTTGTTTTGCAGTATTCAATTTTCACATATATTTGAAGCAACTGAAAAGACCATGGTTTGGATCAGAAATAGTTTAGTGATCAACAGCTTATCATTACTGTATTAGTCTAGGTACTTTGGAGATACAAATCCACAGCAACTCATATATAAGAGAGAGTTTTATATAAAGAAAAGGTGCATCACGAAAACATCCCAACCCAATGCTGCTCAAGCCCACAGGTCCAACATTAATCCATTAACCCAACACCAGTCCAGAAAGTCCTCCACCTCACAAAACAGAGGCAATGAATCCGACTGCAGGAGGAAAGCTGAGTCAGTAAACGAATAAGCATCTCAGCACTAGCAGGGGTCTCCACACGGTTGCTCCAGCACCCAGAGCTGCATCGGGATAGATCCATGCGGCTTCTCCTTGGGGATGTCTTGTAGGAAGTCAATCTTACAAGCTGAAGCAGGGAACTGCTAAGGCAGCTGCACCCGATGCAACCATCACAAAACAAGAGACCCAAGAACTAGAAAGGCGAGGCTCACTACCCATTTATCCCTCCACCTTTCAATTAGCCCCACATGTGATTATTGGCCAGGCTGGCACAATTAACTAACTCAATTACCTTTCAGAACTTTGAAAAAATCTTTTTCAGCAGCTTTGCCCATTGCCCAATGCAATATGTTGTTTGATTTCATGATTGTTGCTTCCATTGTGTCTGGTAAACATAAGTTCTGATGAAATGTATTAAAATGTCAAATATATATTTTAAACAACTTGAAAAAATTAATCTACTAATCCAATTGACTAGAATAGATCACTTTTTTTAATAGATCACTTTTGTACCAATACCAAAGAAAGGCAACCCAACAAAATGTTCAAATTATAAAATAATATCAGATAATATCACATGCAAGTAAAATTTTACTGAAGATCATCCAACAATGTTTGCAGCAGTATATTGTCAAGGAATAGCCAGAGGTACAGACCAGAGTCAGAAGAGGATGTGGAACAAAGGATATCATTGCTGATGTCAGATGGTTCTTGGCTGAAAGCAGAGAATACCAGAAAGATGTTTACTTGTGTTTAATTGACTATGCAGAGACATTTGACTGTGGGAATCATAATTAACTATGAATGTCCTTGAGTAAAATGGGAATTCCAGATCACCTCATTGGGCTCATGAGGAATCTACTTGGATCAAGTGTGACAGAAAAGGGCTTACTGCATGGTTTAATATGAAGAAAAATGTGTATCAGCATTGCATTCTCTCACCATACTTATTCCATCTCTATGCTAAGCAAATAGTCAGAGAAGCTGTGTTATACGAAGAAGAATTCAGCATTGGGATTGGAACAAGGCTTATTAGCAATCTTCGATATGCAGATGACGCAATTCAAGTGAGGAGGACTTGCAGCACTTGCTGATGAAGATCAGGAATTGCAGCCTTAAGTATGGATTACAACCCAATGTAAAGAAAACCAAAACTCACAATTGGACCAGTAGATAACCGGAGAAAAGAAAACTTAAGGATTTTGTGTCGCTTGGATACACAATCAACACTCAAAGACACAGCAGTAAAGAGATCAATGGATGCATTGCATTGGGTACACCAGCGACAGAAGACCTATTTAAAGTGTTGAAAAGCAAGGATGTCACTTTGAGGACTAAGGTGCTCCTGAACCAACCCATGGTATTTTCAGTTGCCTCATATGCATGTGAAAGTTGGACATTAAATAAGGAAGAGCAAAGAAGAATTGATGAATTTTAATTATAGTGCCGGCAAAGAATATTGAAAGTATAATGGGCTGCCAAAAGAACAAACAAATCTGTCTTGGAACAATTACAGCCAGAATGCTTCTTAAAAGGCAAGGAAGGGGAGAGTTCTTACATACTTTGGACGTGTTGTAAGGAAAGGCCAGTTCCTGGAGAAGGACATCATGCATGGTAAAGTAACTGGGCAGCGTAAGAGACCTTTGGCAAGATGAATTGATGCAGCGGCTGCCTTGATGGGCTCAAACATCAGAACAATTATAAGGATGGCACAGGACCCAGTAGTGCTTTAGTCTTTTGTACATAGAGTTGCTATGGGTCCAAATCCACTCGATGACACCTAATTACATCACTGTCTTTGACGTTAGTTGACATTTTGCGAATGTTAATGGATCTGCTCTTGAACAGCAGTATTTTAGTTACTGCTAAAATCTGGACACACGGAAATCTTCTAGTTCTAGAAAGGAGAATCAGTGTGGAGCCGACTCAGGAACTTAGCTTTCAGCCATAAATTTGGTAATGGGGGCAAATAATCAGATTCAGCAGTGATTTAGAGTATTAACCTGGTGGTCTGACTCAGAACTAGGGAGAAATCTCTTCACAGTTTTCTATTGATATATTCAAGTAATATACTAGAGAGAGCCAACTCAGGTAATATACCAGAGTGAGGATCTAGAAGACTTGAGCAAGTATCTTATTGCTACACTCCATCAAATGAGGTGCAGGTTTCCTTACATGGCCAAAATGACCACAGGAAATGGGCCAGAATTGATCCTGCCTGTGAGAAGCTCTCGATGGGATTATGACATTCACCCTCGATTCTGCGGAAGAAGCTTGAAGTAGGGAAAAGGTGAGAGGCACGTCAAAAGTAGAGCGGCCTTTCTAAATGTTATTCCTGCAAATTCAGTAACTCAGATTTGGATACAATGGAAGACACCCCACTTTTAGCATGGTGCTGGCATCTTTGCGTTAACATCATGTACCATAGCTTGATTTTTATTGCATAATTTTAGGGAATACTGGCGAGGTTTAATGCTGTCTTACAGACTGTGAAGTGGAAGGGAGTATTAAAGCCTCTAACTTTGCATTGCTTGCCTGAAATAAAAGATCTTATCTCAGAGTTTAATGGAGTATGTACACCAAAGAAATTGGATGTTTAAGATCTATCCTTACCAAATTATATAACTGTACGCAGATCACTGTGTTTGTGAACCTCAACAGGTGTCCTAAGACACTGTGTTTGACTTTGGGAAAGCAGCTGATGCTTTCCCCCCTCCCCGACCCCACCCCTGCTTTTGGCTGTAGTGTCTGTTTAGAGTGTCATAGTACAAATTTAGAAATTTAAATATAGCCAGGACTTCATCTTTTCACCACACGAGCTGTTTTCAATTTCTCAAGTAAGGCTACATTTGTTGGAGGATATTTCCACATAAAACAATATAGAGGTATGTGTCTGGCCCCTCTAAAAGGTTTGGTTTAAATAAGGACTCTACTACCAATTGTTATATTACATAAAAATTTGCACGTTATGGAAATTACATTTTCACAAGTGGAATTGCTCTCTTATGTTTTATTTTCAGGGAACAAGAAAGTTGTGGTATTAAATTTTAAGTTGCTTAAATAAGTTGTTGAAAGATTTATTGCTTTCCAACTCCTGATTTTAGTTTACATAATGTATAGCTACTTCTACACACATTACTAATGAAAAATCTTTATTTATTTAATCAGATGCTGGAACGACTGCATCTAATTTTAGAAAAGTTAGTTTATGTAGTTTTATTGAAGTTAACAAATTTGAGATATTTGACAATTGTTACTTGAATGTTTCTGATTAATGAAACTGGTTCTCAGAGTTAAGGCTGTTTATGTGATATAATTTGAAATTTATTATAAGTAGTATTTCACAGATTACTATAATCACATAGATTACTCATAGTGGTGTTTAAGACTTCTCTTTGGAAATGTACGTTTTTTAATGAAAAATCAAGGTTAACATTTTAAGTTAAATAACAGTATCTGTCTATTGAGAAGATTCTTGACTCCATTCTCTAAATTTCCTTTGAAACCCACTATTATCGTGTGTTCACATCATCTTCCTGGGATCATGGACTCCTCTGCATCCCAGTTGTTGTTAGCTGCCATTGAGTTGCCTCAGATTCACGGTGACCTCAGACAAGGGAACATAAGGAAATGTTGCTCACGACGAGCTTATGTAAGAGGGGACTTAAATGTCCACAGAAAGTGGAATGAAAAGAAATAAATTATGTTTCTATGAACCTTTTAATCCCTCTTAAATGACAGGACCAAAGGTCACCTGATTTGGTGGCAGGAGTGGGTTACAAGGTGAGCTGTAAACCACAAGGTCAGCAGTACAAACCCACTGGTTGCTCTGTGGGAGAAAGATGAGGCTTTCTACACATGTAAGGACAAAGGCAGCACGAGTTTGTCCTATAGGGTCATTAGGAATTGGAACCGGCTGGGTGGCAGTGTGTTTTGCCAAGTTTGTTAGTAAATTTGGATCCACTCTGCTAATCCATCTCATTAATGGTTTCTCTCATTTTTCCTAACCCGCTACCAAATGCAATTTTTTTTCTAGCCCCTGGCTTTTCCTGTTAACATGTAAATAAGTTTACTGACATTTCACCATCCTTGCTTCAAAACCTTGCTTCTTTACGCACTGTACCCTTTCTTTAAAGGGTAAAGCAAGAGAGGCTGTGCCTTTGACAGTATTAGTCTTCATTCTTTTGACTCAGCAAGGAGCCCGGTGCACAATTCAGGGCAAAAGAAAAAGGCAGATGTCTCTGACACATTAGGAATTGTAAGAGAGCTGAGAAGTGTTGGTAGGGCTTTGTTTTCATTCTGCTTAAATACTTGGCTGTTAGCGAGAGGTTGGCGATTCAACCAGTGGTTCTGCAGGAGAAAGGACATCTGCTCCCCCACAGAGTCCCTAGAATCCTCGGTGGAACAGCACTACAGTCTCACAGGGAGCTGCTATGAATCAACAATCTCCTGGATTGTATATCAAACAACAACTTTTTTGTTTGCTTGTTTTAGTGATTGGAGATTCTGGCAGCAGATTTTAAAACCACAGGAAAATCTGACTCAATCGTGTTAATATTAGCAACCATTTATTTACTGACTTTGTTAAAAGGGTATATGAAAGTACTTAAAGTGAGAAACTGAACTTGTTCTTTTTTTAAAATCATTTTATTAGGGGCTCATACAACTCTTATCACAATCCATACATACATAAATTGTGTAAAGCCTATTTGTATATTCATTGCCCTCAGCATTCTTAAAACATTTGTTCTCCACTTAGGCCCCTGGCATCGGCTTCTCATTTCCCCCCCACCCTCCCCACTCCCTAATGAACCCTTGATAAATTATAAATTATTATTTTGTCGTATCTTACACTATCTGACATCTCCCTTCACCCGATTTTCTGTTGTCCGTCCCCCAGGGAGGAGGATATATGTAGATCCTTGTAATCAGTTCCCCCTTTCCAACCCACCCTCCCTCCATGCTCCCAGTATTGCCACTCTCACCACTGCTCCAGAAGGGACCATCTGCCCTGGATTACCTGTGTTTCCAGTTCATGTCTGTACCAGTGTACATCTTCTGGTCTAGCCAGATTTGTAAGGGAGAATTGGGATCATGATAGTCGGGGTGGGGAGGAAGCTTTTAGGAAACATACAAAGTTGTATGTTTCATCGTTGCTACACTGCACCCTGAATGGCTCCTCTGCTCCCTGCGACCCTTCCATAAGGGGATGTCCAATTGCCTACAGATGTGCTTTAGGTCCCCACTCCACATTCCCCCTCATTCACAATGATATGATTTTTTTTGTTCTGATGATACCTGATACCTGATCCCTTTGACACCTCATGATCACACAGGCTGGTGTGTGTCTTCCATGTGGTCTTTGTTGCTTCTGAGCTAGATGGCCGCTTGTTTACCTTCAAGCTTTTAAGACCCAAGACGCTCTATCTTTTGATAGCAGGGCACCATCAACTTTCTTTAGCCCATTTGCTTATGCACCCATTTGTCTTCAGCGATTGTGTCAGGAAGGTGAGCATCATGGAATGCCAGTTAAATAGAACAAAGTATTCTTGCATTGAGGGAGCACTTGAGTGGAGGCCTAATGTTCATCTGCTACCTTAATACTAAACCTATACATATATGCACATAGATCTATTTCCACATCCTCATATATAAATATATTTACATATATACATGCCTTTATTTAGACCTCTATATATGCCCTTTGCCTCCTAGCTCTTTCCTCTATTTCCTTTTACTTTCCTTTTGTCCCACTATCATGCTCAGTCTTCATTTGGGTTCGAGTAATTCCCCTTGGTTACATTACCCTTGATCATGCCCTAGCAGGGCTCCTACACCCTCCTCACCAACGATTTGGATCACTTGTTGTTCCCTTGTTCCTGAATTTGTTAACACCGCTTCCTTTCCGCCCACCTCTCCCTCTCCCATGTCTCCCAAGAACTGTTGGTTCCGTTGTTTTCTCCTCCAGATTGTTCATCCAGCCTATCTTCTTTAGACAGACCTATGGAAATAATAACATGAAGAAAAACAAGACAGAGCAAAACCAAGCAACAAAAGAAAAGAAAACAACAACAACAAAAAGCCAATGACAATAAACAAAACAACACAACACAACAACAAGAAAGAAAAGCTTGCAGTTAGTTCAAGGACTCTTTGTTGGCCTTAAGGAGTGTTTTCTGGTCGAGTCTGATGGGGCACCAAGCCCTGGCCCCAAAGTCTATTTTTGGTATTCCCTGGGAACTTCGTTGCTCTGTTCCCCTTGCTGTTCTGTTGCACACCCTTAATGTTTTGCCTCGGTGTGATGGGATCAGATCGGGCAGAATTCCCACACAGTGTCTCCAGTGTTGTCCCCTGTAGGGCTATGGGTCAGTAATGGATGTTGTGTCTCATAGTGGGGCTGGACATATGGTCTTCTCTGTGGATTGGCTGCTCTAAGTGGGAATATCGTCATCAAGGCTTGGTGGGCCAGAATGTGCTCCACTCTCTCTTCCTCCTCCTTCATTTGCTCCCATGTGCTCTGATCAGACATGTCCCTCTTCAGGAGCTGCAGACTCAGTGCTGTCCTCTGAAGTGAATTCTTCTGGGGGGAGGGGCAGGTGTCCACGTAGTTGGGATTGTGGCCAGCCTCTCAGACTTCTCCACTGGTTCCCTACTCCATGCCAGCATGTTGCATTCACATCTTGGAGCGCTGGGTTGAAGTCTGGTCCCTCTTTCCCTGTGGAGATATAGACAATATCCTCCCCTTGGGTGG